CGTAATCCTCTCGAGTTATATGCCCGTAACCAAGATGGCGCGGTACAAAATTATAGGTTAATGAAACAAAACATCTTGAAAAATCTCACTAACTCAAGTTTGCTGTTTTGGTTTCATGCCGAACATCATCCCTAAAACTTTTTGACTGAGATCAACCCTTAATTTGACAAGAAAAAGTGCAATACAGTTTTTCTTGCTTAGGTTTTTCCTATATTTTGTCATCGTTATGTTCGGCAAGAGTATTGAATTGGGCCCTATTGAGACCAGTCAAACATTTGTAGTCTTCATCTTCCATATTTTGAGAATAGAAGTCAAACATGTTTGACTGTTTCTCTAACGCACTAACACGCTCAGTGAGGAGATTTAAGAGTGCTTCACTTTCAAGTATACTCATAGATCTTGGTGTTGCTCGCAATCTGATCAGTCCAAGTGCCTCGTCAGAAAATACTCCATTACCTAGGTGATTTGGGCAGCATCGATTTTCTGGATGGCAAAATATTCGGCACTGCATCCATAATTGTACAGCTGCTCTCTTTGAAACACGTTGCCGGATATTAACCCCACACACACACAACATACCAACTGGTTGCTTGGTAGTTTCAAGCGTCCTCTAACATTTTCATCACATTCATTATTATTTTCATTGTTAACAAGGGGTCTATTGAATAAAGAAAAGTATTACCTTGCAAGTCATAACTTATAAGAAAAAGCTAAAACTTCTAAGTAGAAGACTTATTTTTATTTGAATAAAAACTAGAACTCTCTCGAAAGTAAATATCGGAAAAATCTTTTGAATAATTACTTTTAAGTACTTACTTATATTTACAAGTATTTACTTTTTACTTTCCTATCTGTATACAGATAAGGAAAGTATAGGAATCATGATTTTTTTCGACCTCCAGTTTTCGACGGATTTTTACGTTTTGGGGTCCCCTGAATCCGTTTTGACTATTTTCGGGATGATGTCTGTGTGTGTGTCTGTATCCACCATAACTCATGAACCGATACAAAAAAAAAAACACCAAATTTTAAACTTAAGCTTTATTCTAGCCTGCGGTGAACTGATTAGACTTTGGGCAGAGTCGGAACATTTGGGGGGGTACTTTATTGGTGGTCATTTTTATATTTTATGAAATATATCCGTTATTTACGTTTGGAGAAGAAAATTCTTCAAATAAAAGTTACTTATAATATTATTATCTATAATTTTTGTATTATACAAAATTTTCCTAAAATGGTCCGTATTCGAGAAATTTGACAAAATGTAAAAAAAATATTTTTTTATAAAAATTGTTCAAATAAAAGTTGTTTGTTATTTAATTTTCTATAATTTTTTTCCCATACATAATTTCTCTAACCGTATTCGAGATATTTGAGAAAATGTGTAAATTTCGAATTTTGAAGAAAACTCAAACACGGATAAAGGAAAAAACATTAAATTTTAGACTTAAGTTTTATTTCGGGCTGAGGTGAAATGATTAGATTTTGGACGAGGGCGGAACATTTGGGGGGGTACTTTATGGGAGGCTGTTTTTATATTTTATGGAATATATCTGTTATTTATGTTTGGAGAAGAAAATTGTTCAGATAAAAATTACTTACAATATTATTATCTATAATTTTGGTTTCATACAATTTTTTTTTAAGTGGTCCGTATTCGAGAAATTTGACAAAATGTAATAAAATTCAAATTTTTAGGAAAATTGTTTAAATAAAAGTTATTTGTGATACCGATCTATATAATTTTGGTTTTTTATATGATTTTTCTAAAATGGAAAAGTGCTAAATTTAAATTTTTCAGTATTTTTGTTTTCAATGAATATCTATAGAAAAATGTTTAGGGTTAGATGTATGTGGACAATGTATATATTTAGTTTATCCTCTAAACATTTATAGAGATGCTGCAATAGGTTGTACAAAATAACCGGAAAAAGCCTATAATAACTAGATAGGAAAGTCATGTGTTGGACACATCAGATTTTTTCGTTGCGTATGATGAATGAAAGACATGGGAACGCAAACACAGCCCTCTAAACAAAAATTGATACTAAATAAGTCGTGACAGGATTGTATGCAACCACAAGTAAGCATTTGTTTTCGAGTGAGAAAAAATTAATTGTCAGTAAAAATTGGCGGTTACAGACTCATGTTTGTTAAATTGCTAAAAAGTTTAAGGTTCTTTTAAATAAATCAATGATTCCTACTATAGTTCAAGCTAAAGGAAAGGCATGGAAAGATCTCAAAGACGAATTTATCAAAATGTCTGGGACAAATACTACTGTTGAAAAGTCTACACTTTCACTTTCAAAACCCAACAAGAGCTTAGATTTGCTTGGGCTGATGCTTCTCTTACTATAGTTCTTCCTGTTACAAACATTTATGAAGTCCACCATGTTTAACAAAGTATACTAGCAACTACCGTAGAGAAAAAAGGATGCTTCATAGCTACCTTAAAAATCATCAAGTTATAACTGACCAATTTAAGACAGATCTTATTTTTATTCAAATAAAAATAAGTCAGTACTGGAAAAATATAAGTAAATTCTTATATTTTAAGTAACTACTTGAAACCATAAGAGTTTACTTATGAAGTAGTCACTGAACTTTTATTCAATTTATACTGAGAAAATACTTAAATAAGAGGAAGTAGAAGCCAATACTTCTTTTTACTCAATAGGCCCAAGTTCTGGATTACCTTAAAAAATTATATACGAAATATTTCAGATTGATAGCTTATACGGTTTAAAAAAAATTGGGATTTCAAAAGCCTTGAAAAATACGTAGTTGCGTTAGACTTAGGATAGTAGACAATTATAAATAAATAAATAAATAAATAAAATCATTTTTTAGTTTTTATACATTTATTATTAATTTTGTTTTTGGCATTTTAATACTTTATTTATCTTTTAAATTGCAAACTTTGTAGTAAAATGTGTTGCCTATGTTTTACACAAATTAAGGACCAGTCAGAAAACATCTTAAAACATAAAAGTCTTAGATCTGTTACAATATAAGGGTGAGATTACAGAACGTCTGCAACTTTGCAGATCTGAAAATATGGTGGACTTACAGATGCAACTATCAAGTTTTCGTATTCCAAAAAATATCTACAAATTCGAAATATTTATTGTGGTTTATTACCCCAAACAACACTAAACCCAAATCCATTATTATGTTTAAAAACTCTAATAATCTAAAAAGTTGCCGCCATATTTGCAGATCTGCAAAGTTGCAGACGTTCTGTAATCTCACCCTAACACACACACACAGTATAACAGGCCCGATTCGCGTAAAATCCCATCCTGTATAAATTGGATCGGATTCTGCGAGACCCATTCCATCCACCCCCTTGCAAGACGTCTGGCAAGGTCCTCAGTGAAAAATCATCAGATTTGTATGCCATGCCTACTAAGAGGGCATGTAGTATGACATACTATCATTCATTTAATCAGAGTGGCTGAAGGCCTTAACTCTGATGCGTCATTCTCACCCTAAGACTTATAGTAGCTATGCATATACTGTGGTTGTGTTAAGACATGCGTTGTTGCCATATTTAAAACTTGGTTTAACAACTTAGATTTTCATAATAAACGTCAAACTTTTCCAGTTCTTAGATTTTTCAGTTAAAAATTGTTAAATATTCGGGCCTTTTCAGACTGATGTAATAGTTTTAAAAATATTAGTGATTTATTTTATATATTTTCTTTTTCCATTTCAAAGAGATTTATTGCATTAAATATGTTTTATTTATTAATAATTTTAGCCGTCCGTATACACCCTAAATATAACGTAATTTAGAATTTTACGCAATGGAAATTCATTTTAAGCTTATACTTTTAATATAAAAACAAATTTTCGTTTTTCTCCCTTAGATTTTCAAGTTTTTTGAAATATAAAAAGAAAAATCATGAGAAACCCAAAACATCCATTTAAAACGATCCTGGGGTCTATTCTGTAAAAATTCCTTTATATTTAACGGCCTTTAAAAATATTTTCTTCTTTAATTCGGTCACTATTTAAACGGATCTTTAAAATACATTAGAGGACTATCTTAAAGAAATCTGTTTAAATAATGATAGAAGTAAATTAACGAATACGAACATATTTTTATAGGCCGCCAATATTTTTAAAGGCCGTTAAATATAAAGGAATTGTTACAGAATAGACCCCACTCTCCTTTAAAATAATAAAATAATGTTTAACATGATTTGACTGAAACATTTTAACTGTTGTCCTTAACGTTTGAATTTTCGGTAGGGGGCAGAAGACGCATGACAATTAAAAAACTGTTAATAAACATTTTGGTGAGGATAACATAAGTTAACTTTTGACCACTATTCCAAATCGAAAATCCAAATTTCGATTTTCAATTTTTTTTTAATTTTGAGTTGCGGTAGGGGGCAGAAGATGCATGACAATCAAAAAACTGTAAATAAACATTTTGGTGGGGATAACATAAGGCAACTTTTGGGCACTATTCCAAAAGGAAATTTAAAAATTTGAATTTTCGGCCCAACTTAATATCCACTCTTGTTGCACGAACTACTATTTTTGTCAAACCTCGTATATGACTCATAAAATTTGATATCTGAGGGGTGTATTTTGGGTTTTAGACCATGCACAATTTTTTTATGAAGAATACATTTTTTTGATAAAACTAACAATAAAGTTTTCCATATGTAGCCAATTTACGTAGATATAATATCAAGGGGTATTTCGAACCCGAATGTATTATGATGTAAACACTATAAAACCTTCTTCATAATTTGTATTGACAACCGAGTATAATATGTTTTTAATCAACCTATTGTTCCATTCACATTTTCTAGTGGTAAAGGAATTTTTTGTAGTTTAAGCTAGATGTTAATTCTTTAATCTCATTCCGTTTAAGATATAAGAGGGGATGGACAATTTACAACTGCACCATATAGAAAATATTATCAATGTTGTCAAAAAATATATTAAAACAAGTTTCAGTATATAATTTTTGTTAATGTACAATAATTGGATTAATCCTATAATAAATATTAATCCACTGAACATTTTTTTGCTTACATATGAAGTACTGTCTAAAACAGCGGGTCACAAACTATTTCTTATTTTGAAAACGACTTAAAACCGAAATAAAATGTCGAACCTGTGTAGTCATTAGTAACAGTAAATTGGCTTTTTATTCAATTTCATTTTCCATATCTAATTAACGAAAAAATAAAACATAATAGTAAATCATTTACAAACATTATTAAAACTAAATAGCTTTACCTAGAAAAAAGAATAATGATAAAATGGTGCTGAAATAACCAAAACATTCTCACTCGTTTATCAGCAGACATTAAATGTAAAAATTGAACCTTTTCTTCATATGTTCAGTTTGACTCTACATTTTTTACGTAGCTACGTCGTTTTTATATCAGCAGTTCTTTCTAGCGCATTCCGAAAAAGTCTTGGTTCGCTTGATTTACAGAAGTAGAAGTTGCCGGATCGTAGAGAAAGTTGGTGCGTTTTTACCAGGGTAAAATATTAGCAGGTTTACTTTTGGGCAGCTTGTGCACGCGCCATTTTAGTCAAATAAATACCGCCAAATTAAAAAAGTATAAATACAAACTAAAAACTGTTTGGGAACCGCTGGACTCTAAAGCATTTGTTCGCAAAAAAATGTTCAGAGTGTAAAACAGGTTTAATAAAAACAAAAAGTTAAGTACATTCAAATTTTCCTCGCTTTATTTATATTAAAACAATCTCAGCTATCTCCAGCCTTTTGATCCTTTGGTATGAAGCTAAGCGACGCAGAGTTGATGCAGAATCTTTTCTTAGTCGGCGGGGGTCCGTCTCCAAATACATGTCCCAAATGAGATCCGCACGTCGAGCAAGTCACTTCAGTACGTATTCTTCCTGGTTGGGATATCAGGAGTAAAAGGTTTGATCCCACTATTTTGGATATATCGGAAAGGGTAGAAGGGTAGGGTTGCAGATATTTGGGGGATATGTGTGAAGTGTGTGCAAAAAAAATGTGAAAAACCAAGACAAATGTACCAACAAAAAAAGAAAAACATAAATATGACGAAAGAAAAAAAAAACAAAAATAAAAAGATGATAAACATAAAAACACAAATATAAAATGTATGACATGTTTGTGATAGTACAGAAAGAAACGAGGATCAAGGAAGGAAAAGAAAACATTTACAATTAGCTTTAACCAATAATCTGTGATAAACCAACGTACGCAATATATTATATTTACACGAAGAATAAATGTGTCTGTATTTTTACAACGTATTGCCCATATAGTTATAAATTATTTATTATAAAAATGTATTCATGCAAATTGAAAACAAAAAGCCAAATAAAAATAATATCTCCATTATTATTCATTACGAAAAAAAAAAAAAAAATAATTTTGGAATGAACAATATTTGTTTAATTAGTAACTTAATTTATTTATAATACAATACTCCTACAGGTCATAAACCCAATTACAGAGCAGGAATTGACAGAATATAATTATTAATATATTTGTTATATGAATGTTAAGCACATACAAAAAACTTGTATTTTGTAATAGATAACAAATTAACTAAAATAAAAGTGGGATTTTATATTTGACAAATTGCAACTAAATATATCAAGTTCATTGACAATAGAATTTGTCACTGTACACATATACATATACTGTACAGATATTTTTCCAGAACATTTGTGCGAGATGTATTTATATAAAAAGTATTCGGGTGCCTGGAAGAAATTCTGGTAATGCAAATATTAAACTTTCCTGATAAGGTTGGGCAGTCAATAACACTTTTAATAATTTTATGTTACTACTTCACTATTATAATCACGCCTTCTTTCGAGATTGAAAAAGTTATGCTTTTGTAGTAATTCAGAGTGAGGTATACCTATTAGAGGATAAATGCTGTCAGTTTTAAGGCTTAGCAGTTTTAAAAATCGTCTTTGAATTGCTTCTTTTCGATCTATGATACTGATAAAAGGGGAGTAGGTATTGGGCCACCTGGGACCCCCCCCCCCACTACACTCTTGGGTCATGCAGTCTAGGCTATGAAATAGCAATGATAATTCTCAATCAAGGTACTGTGTTGAGAGTTCTAGATCATAAAATAGCAATGAGAGATATCGGTCATGGAACTGTATTGAGACTTTTGGGCCATGCAGTTTAGGCTATGTATTGAGAGTTGCAGATCATAAAATAGCAATCGGAGATCTCGGCCATGAAACTGTATTAAGACTTTTGAGCCATTGAGTCTAGACTATGTAATAGCGATGAGAGTTCTCGGCCAAGGAATCGTATGAGATTTCTAGAACATGCAATAGCAATGAGAGTTCTCGGTCATCTCTATAACTGAAGCATACTTTAATTTTGATCTTATAAAAGCATAAAATAGGGTTTTTTTTAAGGTAGAGGTTTCTTTAAAATCGCTATTACTACGTGCAATTAATCCGTACATGCGATAGGAAGAGGATACAACATTATCAATGTGCTCATTAAATGATAGTGCAGTGTCAAACGTGACGCTAAGATCAGTAACTATTTTCGGTCGCTCAAGGGCAACGTTTTCTATTGAATAATTAAAGATTAGCATATTCGTTTTTAAACTGTAGGACATAACTATACATTTATCCGGGTTTAGTGACAAATTATTTTGATAACCCGTGTTAAGTTTGCTCAGAGGTTCTCGCAATCAAATATACTCTTTCCCCTCCAAAATAGGTTAAGAGGGAAGTGGGTTTTTACACCCCCTTTGTCTAATTTTGGTGCTTTTTTAAAATTATTTTATGAAAGTGCTTTTGTTTTGATTTTTGGAGCCAAATTGGTGCGCAATTACAAAAGAAAAACGAATAAAGGGAAAAGTTATACTCCTCAAGACCTCCAAAATGCAGTTGATGGCTTTAAATCTAAAAGACTGACATTGAAAGAGGCTTCAGAAAGATATTCTATTCCAAAAGCTACCATAACTGACCATGTTAAAAACAGAAGGGGTGTGAAGTCAAAAACATTTGGGAGACCGACAGCTTTATCTTCAGAAACTGAAGATCAATTGGGTAGATTCATTAAACTAATGGAAAAATACGGCTACGGCTTGTCAAAGAAAAACGTTTTACAACTGGTGAGCGATTACATAATTCAAGAAAAGATACCAAACCCGTTCAAGAATAACTTTCTTGGAGAAGAGTGGTGGTCAGGTTTTAAAAAAAGACAACTTAACCTTCAAAAACCGCAAAATGTGGAAGTTGCCCGAAAAAGAGCTCAAGATCCTTTTGTCATATTCAATTATTTTGACCAATTGAAACTAACTTTGGAAGAACTCAATATTGAATCAAAAAATGTTTGGAACCTTGATGAAGAGGCATTTAATCACGCGATCGGTCTAAAACTAAAATATTAGGAGGAAAATGACTGACTGCTACAAGAACTGTTAGTGGCCCTGGTATAACACCACTGTCCTACTGGCTTGTACTGCAACTGGAGACAAGTGTCCTCCATTGTTTATTTTCAAAAGAAAAAAAAAACGTTTGGAACCAAAGGGTTTCTAACGAAGATGAAGGATTTCCCGATTTAACATTTGCCACTACTCAAAATGGCTAGATGAAGTCTTCTGTATTCCCGAATTATTTTGAACATTCTTTTGTAAAAGCAACAGAGCCATCCCCTAGTAATCCCGTTCTTCTCATCTACGACGGTCATGCAACTCACATTGGTTTAAAATTAGTGGAATTGGCTGCAAAAAACCACGTGACAATTATTTTACTGCCTCCTCATTCAAGCCATTTACTTCAGCCCCTCGATATGGCAGTTTTCAAGTCCATTAAATCATAGTGGGATGAGTATATCTGCAAAAGGTTGAGACAACAAGGCTGTCAGAAAATTTCTTAACGATCAATGACGATAAAAATAGGAGAACTATGGAAAAATTTCGATACGGACATTATTAAAAATGGATTCAGGAAAGCTGGCATCTTTCCGTTTAATAAATATATCATTCCTGAAGAAAATTTTGACCAACTATCTTTGGAACGATGGAAATCATTGCAGCTAGAAACTGATCAAATGACAGCACCCGAACTGGACCAAGTTGCAGAACCTGAAATGGACAAAGTTGAAGCATCCGAAATTGATCATCTCTTACCACCTAAAACTAATATGGTTGCAGGTTTTGAAAAAGACAAAAAGCCGTCGAAATTCATGACGCTACTTCATCGGGAAGCAACCTAGAGCAGGTGCAGAACTCTCTCAATACTTTCGAAAAATTGCTACTATCAACTATTTCGTCCCATAATCAGAGAGGACCGCCAGCTAAGAAAACAAAAGTTTGTTTAGGGTCAAAAGTCATCACATCTCAGGAGTGTATAAAAATTTTGAAAGACAAAGAGGACGCCGAAAAGCAAAAGAAAGCTATGAAAGAAAACCAACAAAAATCAAAAAAGGAACAGAAAACCAAAGAAGACAAAAGAGAATCAAAAGAAAAAAATCGAAGTTTGAATTGTCATCATCCTCTGATGAGGAAGAACTGCCATTTAATATGTGCATTGATGAGTCTAATGAAGATTTTGGAGAAGAAATACCTACTGAAACAGAGTTTGAAATAGACGACCTACCAATCCATCTCGAGACAGAATTGGAAATTAGTGATCCCGAAAACAATCTGGTTCCATTCTTAAAACCAGACGAATCAATAACTTTGGAAGTTGCAGAAACTGGTATTTGTTCGTTTGAAACAGTTGATTAAGTTCCTAACTCCAATAATAAAGAAGATCCTTCTGAAGCTTCGGTTGTGCCAAGAAAACCAGGGGATTTCGTTCTAGTCAAGTATGAATCTACCAAAAAAACTGTGAAAATTTACCTAGGAGCAATCAAAGAAATATATGATTCAGAAAAGTGTTTTGTTAAATATTTACGCTCTATAGATAAAAGAAGACTTTTAAGTTCCATAAGACTGATCAAGACACTGTCCCAATGCATGAGGTTATGAATACAGATGTTCCGGACTTTGAGATGTATTCTAAAGGCCGCTATGTATTTAAGGACCCTGTGCCAGTCGTAGAATAAATATTTGTTATATTAAGTATCTACCAAAGTTTGTATAATAGTTATTTTGTATTCTAAATGTTTTCTAAAAGTTTAGGTTTAATAATTTTTCTAATAAAATCTTAAGATTTAAAACCAAAATATTAATTTGACTATATCTTTCTTAATATTACAGATAATCAAGTTTTGCAAAAACTGACAGATTCATAATTTTACATATTTTTTGCTCTTGCCTCGGATAACCATCATATAAGCATCTAAATAGAAAGAAAGAGGTCTGAAATGCATTTGTCCCATAAACTGGGGTAAGTGCATTTCTGTGAGATTGCGACCAATTTATTTTTTTTTTGTAATAAATCCAAATTTTCAGGTAAAAATACTTTCGAATTATCATTACTTAAGGTTGTAAAAATATTAGTATACTTAAAAAACTATATAGTACGATGATCTCTAGTTTTTATCTTGATTTTAAAGTCAACTTTGAAATTGAAGGTATGCACTTCCCCGAGTTGACCTTATATGTTAAAATTATCCGAAAATAATTTTAAATGGGCCCGTTCACTTTTATTTTTGAATGTGAATTATTTATATATTTATAAAGATATTAAACTCTTTTGCCTGGTGGTACTTTTCCCGTTAAGATATTTTTGCTAGAAGTAAGGGAATTCCCATAAAATTCTTTCAGTGACTCATTGCGTCACGCAAAAACACGATAGTTGCTCTGAATTACAGAATTTAGAATCCGAGTTACGTGTTGCTAAAACTGCTATATAGACAATAAATACTTCCTGTAAATAACTTTTATCTTATCATACTTTTATAAATTTTCCTAGAGATAAACATAGGTGTGGAT